GGGGGGGGGGTGTGTGGTAGAGAAACCCGAACATTATTCAGAAGATGCCCAGGAGATGGCGCAGTGAATACAGGCACCAAGGCAGAGACAGGCAACTTCACCGGGTTCCTCTTCCTCCTCTCAGGAAGAAGCCATCCTTTGCCCATCTCTGGAGCCCAGTCAAAGGCACACAGGTAGCACAGAAAACTGGGCGGCAGTTCTCGTCCTGTAATAAGGGGACCCAGCTGGGAGACATCGGCAGACGAGGCTGAGACGCCAGGAGCCCCAGGCTGCTCTTGTTCATGCACAGATGCCCAGTGGCCCACCCAGAGGACAGAAGACCTGCATCGCAGGTACACTTCCGGCTATTTTTCCTTTGAGATGCTGAGGAAAGATGGCTTCCGTCAACCCCCTTCCTAGAACTTCCTGCAACATGTCCCAGCTCAGCCTACAGCTGTCCCTGGCTTAGGACTCCAGGACCCCACACCACAGTGCCCACGCAGGGGCGGAACCTGAGCTGTCCTGGGGGGAAAGCACTGTCTCCCAGCAGCCTAGCCATGGCCCACCTCCTGCCCACAAGTGCACTCTGAGGCTCCACCCACCAGGTGCTAAAAGCCCTGACGGCTAGTCTTAGTTCCTCCCACCACCACTTCTGCCCCCTGCTGGCCATGAACGCTAATCTTCATCTTGTTGTGAATAACATGCCAATCTCCAAGCTAAAGCCATCCTGGACCCTGGGGCCTCCCTCAGTTCTCATGCTAGCCTTCTAAAGGACGCCACTGTTAGCCCATTTTTTTCAGTGAGAAAAGGGAGGCTTGGACATAAGACTACACAGCCAGCCAAAAAGGAACAGATGCGTCCAGTCTAGAACACAAATTCAAGTTGCCCTTCAACTACACGGCTTTGTTCTCATACCCACTAAATTTCACATGCAGCAACTCATGGTGGAAGTATCACAGACCCACCGGAGACTGGTCCGTAGAGGGTGAGCTAAAACCCAGCACCATCAGCCACGGCTGGGCAGGCTGCCCCACTGTGAAGCCCAGCATCTTCACGTGGACCTGCCCTGGTGAACGCATCTCTGAGTCTCTCTAAGACAAGCCTTGTTTGTTACATGCCATTTGCTATCCTCCAGGGCCAAACACCATGATGAGGTCATTCCCTGGGAAGCTTAGTTTGAAATGCAGTGTTTGCAGGTACATTTTGATCTCTGCTATTATCCAAAACCATGCGACTCAACTTGTTTGCATCTATGTGTTTTAATCTACCAGGAAACTCGGCCATCACCTCTGTCTGCAGTTCTGATTGGACCAAGGGTCTTGGAGAGATCAGTCCTGGCCCCTGCTTCAGGAAATGAACACTGTGGCAATGTAAACACATCTCTATATAGTGGGAACATTGACAACTTCCCAGACACACAGGATGACTAGGGAATGAAGTCTCTATTTTAAGGGAACATTCCATTTCTATAAAAATATACACAGACTCAACAGCAACCCCATAATGAGGCTGGGTAATTATCAAGGAGCGCACAAATACTTGGGTTTGCAGCTGTGCGTCTTGTCTCTATGGTGACTGCTATACACAATCTGCAGAGGCCAAGAATCACTGGCGGCTGCAGTAGCTGGCCTGTGGCACTGGTCTAGCCTTGTCTACCCTTGTTTATCTTCAGAGGACTGGGCTAAATATGGTTTCCCAGGGTTCCTTTGGAAGCAGAGTGGGGTAGGGTGAGTATAACACTTGACATCAAGGGAATTCTCTCATCTGAAATTTTCTTCAGGGCTAAAGGGGAGCAAGGACACGAGACGGAGAGTGAGGTTCAGCAGGGCCATCTGCTGGGTGGCGTGTGCGAGCAGCTGACCTGCTTTGTTGCCAGGCTCTCTCTGACAGCACCTAGCAGGAGAGCCAGCACATGCCGGGGCATAGGTTACTGATACTCGGCCTAGAAACCCGCCCCCGTGAGTGCTTCTGGGATGACAGAGGCCTTCACCCAGACATCCAGGGAAACAGTGCATACAGTAGGCCAAGGACCACACTGGCAGTCAGGACACCTAGGAACAGGCTGTCTGACCTCAGGGGGTCCACCCACTGACCATATATCCGGCGGGCATCTGAACGTGCCTGGCCCTGCCACTGTCCATCCTCTGTCAGGTGGATTTTTCCATCCACTCTCCAGCAAGAATGATAGTTGAAAAGGTTCAAAGACAATGTCATTAGTGTTTAACACATATTTGACAAATGATGTTGCGGAGGAATGAAAAATGGAAACAACAACAACAAAACACCATACAAGATGCCACTCCAGGATAATCAGAAAGAAAACAAAACAAAACTGGATCTAACATGGTTATGGCCATGAGGAATGGAAGCTGCTCTGGCTTTGCTCTGGAGTTCCCCTCCTTCCTTCCTTCCTCGCAGCCTCCTAGCCTCCCAGCCTCCATCACCAGATGGACTGGCAAGAGCCATAGAGTGGCCCCACAGCCACAGGTGCCTGACCGCCTTACCTTCTGCTCCAGCGTCCTCTCTAGAGCGTCCACTCGCAGCTGCTCCTTCCGAAGGCTAGCTTGGTAAGCTGCTTGCTCCTGCTGGGCCTTGCCTCGAACCTGGGCGATCTCTGCGTTCGCTCTGTTGGAAGGGAGATGGCTCTGGACCCAGCTCTATTAACTAGAGCCTGTACATAGGAACACTAAGAACCCCGACCCTGTTGTGATATGAAAGAGCTTTAGGTGTCCCCAACATTATAACATAATCCTTTGCTTATCTCAGCGGGTGGTGGCTGAGTGTGATCTTGGCCCAAGTCATAAAGATTAGCCACCCTTTGCAAGGCAATGTCACAGTGCTGCTGGAGATCCTGGCCTGAGTGAGTGGTGAGTTACCTGTCCAGTTTCTCTTCTGCGTGCACCTTCAGGGCCTGGTACCTCTGTTCTTCTTTCTTCACTCGGGATAGGTACTCCTGAGCGCACTTCTTCAGCACCTCTTCATTCTGGCATGACAGGGCCACAAAAGCAAACACTGAGGGGCGCAGCAGAACACCCCAAACAGCCAAACCTGACTCTCTAGACTCTCACTCCCAACTCTGGGGGAGGTGATCTCCCCCGAAAACTGCTATTGCTTCTCCACCCCACCTGGACTCAGGCTCTGCAGACACACCTTGCGGAAGCCTTCCAGGACCTCCTTCATCTTCTCGTATCTCCTGAAGAGGTCAGCCAGAGACTTCTCCACAGAGTTCAGGTCAGCCAGGGCTTGCTCCTTCTCCAGGACCAGCTGCTGTACAGTTTGGAGAGAGACGGATTTCTCTCTCTGTTCGTCCTCTGGCGGGAGAGATGGGAGTCAGACAATGGAGCACATTCAATCCAAACTAGGTCTACTGCAGCTAGCCTAGGCCTTGGGTGCAACTCCATTGTTTCCTTGGAATGAACCCATGAGCCTTCCCCTCCTGGATGCTTCCAAAGAGACAAAACTCACCGACCTGATACCACAGACCCAGAGACATGACATTTCATGTGTGGGAAAGGTCAATCTTTAACTTGATCGATGCAGCCCTTACAGATCTCTACTGGAGACCCCGTGGGTCTACTTTTCCTTCTCTAAGTAGATCCATACTACATCAGAAAGAAAAATTACTACTATATTTTCTGGGAAGATGAGATTAAAGGATGCTGTGGACAGGGCCCTAGGGGTGATTCTTCCAAAATGCTATCAAGACAGACTGCACTCACTGAGAGAAAAAGGTTTCTTTGTCCCTAAAACATCCCTGAAATTCTGTTCACAACAACACTGGCTTCTTGGTTGCAGAAAGTACCACACTCCAGGCAAACTGAGACAGTATCTGCAAAGTTCATTGTCAGTCAGGCAGCATTTGGGCTCTGTTCAGAATACTGGTACTAGCCTGAGCAACACCTCTGCTCTGGCCCATCTTTCTGCCATCCCATACTAACCACAGATGTCTCTGTACTACAGGACAAACAGTCTCTGACATGAATACAGCTTCTAACATGTGCACCCGGGTGGCAACAGAGTAGGCCAGAAACCCTTCACTTTCCTGGTGACAGCAGACCTACTGACACCCCCTAGCTCCCATCCCCAGTGCCAAGAGCTCTTGGGGGAAAGCCAGCAGCCCGGCAGATCTCTGTCACTCCCATGTCACCTGGGAGGGTGCTACCTACTGCTTAGAGCTGGCTGCTATGAGGGAAATCATATCTGGAACTGTTAACAGTGACAGCGGGGGCAGCTGCCAGCCTCCACTGCAAGCGAGGCTATCTCACCCAAGCTGCGCCCCTGCTCACACCCTGACTACACCACTACCACAGACAGCCCCTGCCCCAGCACTCAGGAGACCCTGGAAACTCCCAAGGCTCCCCCATTCACCTGTCTCTAATTCCTCCTCATTTCCTTTCCTTTTGTGATGTGAAGGAACATGGCTGGGCGTGCATGTGTGGCTGGGCCAGTTGTGGATTCCGGTTCTGTTATAGTCCAACTTTCCCTACTCCAGGCTTGGAACCCAGGGCTTCCCGCTGCCACACTGCCTCTGCGACAGTAATTTTGTCGGTTGATCAGACTAAAAAATGAAGAGGTCGGCACAGTATACACTGTGAGCGCATCTTCAGGACATTTAGACCATGAGGACCTTGTGGACTCCTTCGTAATATGATGGTGTCACTGAGAGGTGGCAGCAAGTAGGAGGTAGGGATTGGCTGGATGAAGTAGGTCGCTGGGGCCACGTCCTTGCCCTAGCTTCTTCCTGTATCTCTTTTCTCTGCTTCCTATCTGTCAAAATGTGAACTGTATGCCCTTAACCACCACAATGGACAGACTGTTCTGAAACAGTTGGGCAAATAGCAAACTCTCCCTTTCAGCTGAGCCTGTCAGGTGTTGGGGAAAAGTAACAACAAAGGTGACTAGGCCTCTCTCCTCAGGGGCTGACGGTGGGTCTGTCTGGTTCAGTGCTCTGCTCCGGACACACAAAATACCTCCACACAAGTGGTGCTGTCCCTTGACCCATGCAGCGCAACCAACAAGGGTGGCCCCGCAGTGACCCACACAAGGTTTTCTTGTTGCCTCCTCACAGAAGGCGAAAGAGGGTCTGAACAGCAAAGTCGTATGTTCTCTGAGGGAGCAGCATAGGCCAGGCTCAAACCCGAAGACAGAAAGCAGAGCAGTGACCAAATCCTTCCCGAGCCTCCTGCAATGATGGACCTGAACAAATCCCACTAGGAACAGCAAGAGATTTTGATCTGGGTTGTTTTCCCTTTTGTTTTCTGATAGACCACCATCTTAATGCGTCTTAAGTTTAGTATATTATTGCTGTGTGGCATGGGGGGTGGTGTGTGTGTCACAGCCTGAATTTTAGCTCCAAGCCTGACAGAAACATGTTGAAGAGCCCTGAAATTTTGTGGTCCCAAGACCTTGTGTAGATATCAAGGTGGCTGTCAGATGGATGCATGCAGACTGAAGCTGGCTAGAGGGCCACTCAGACAGACAGGAGTTCGTCCTGCTTTTTGACTCGGCAGGTTGGGTTGGATGAAAATCTGCAGAAGCAACAAGCTCCCTGAGGATCAGATGTAGCAGGCCTGGGGCCTTGCCTGGAAAACTACGGGCCTAGGAGATGCCTCATGTCCCTAAAAACTGCCTCTTGGATCCCAAGGTTCTTATCATTCTCAGCAGCAGCCAGAAGCCACCCAGGGCAGTGGCTCTGAGTCTGACAGACCAGCTTGGAATCCCAACTCTGATGCTTCTCTGCTGGGTGATCTTAGGCAAGGTTTTTACACTCACCAGAACCGGGGGATGGCTGTGTTTCTAGGCCATAGCATCTGAGATTTTAAAAGAGAAGGAATACAAAGCTCCTGACACCCAAGGGCAGCCTGAAATCTGACCTGTTATCACCAGCATCACTGCCCATAGGAGCTCTTAACATTATCCCTGACATGGTGGGACAGTGTGTCACACTGTCATGACTCATGAAAGCTCTGCTTTTTAAGTACACAGAACTTTTAAATACAAGTTCTTAAAAGAGAAGGCATTTGGAAGTTTCATTAGTTGCCATTACCCAAACTTGAGCCATTTCCTTTATTCCCAGCATGCCATACAATGTACATTCTGGGCTGATTTGTGGTCACGTATACATTTCACTAGACAGACTGAAGGAGCCATTTATCAAACAGAGCCCATCTGATTTCCTGCATCTAAGATGTCGTCTGGCCTCAGCTTTCCTTTTGTCACTTTTAAAAATAGAATCACCCAGTTCCCAGGAGAGCCAGACAACAGCAACTCAGCACAAATCTCCTTATACGTGACCAATAAAGTTAGGCTCTTAAAGTCAGGAAACCAGCCTTAGCCCAAAGACACGACACGCCAGACTCCCAACCCTGATGGGGTTTTCTGGCATTTGCAGGCAAACCACTATTAAATTGAATGGGGAATGCAGCAAGCACACAAAAGCAAAAATAACCAAGGCAGAAAAACAAAACACAAAGGGTTGCGATGGGGTAGGGTGTCAGATGATGTGGGGGTCGGGAGCATTTACTTACCAGGCTTGCCTGTTTGTTTTGCAAGCAAAGAGCAAGAAGCAACAGAAAAACGGAAGCAAAACAGATAATCAGGGCAGTTGTTAGAAAAGCAGAAACAAACAAACAAACAAAAAAATCGCAACAGTCTGCAATGCAGAAAGCACAGAGGTTCCTTTTTGTCCTAAATTCCAAGGAGCCAGTGCTTAGGTTTAACAAGGCACACTTTCTTCAGAGCAGCTGGGGAGAGGGGGTGATGAGGCGTGGAGCGTGGGTCAGATGAACCAGAGTCTATCCACTTCAAGACATACGACCCAATGGCCAAACTCAGACTCCTTCCCAGCATGGCGGATCACCCCCGGCTGGGCAGAGGAGGCCTACGGAGACACTGGGGAGCGTGCAGCAAACTCCTGTGGGTATCTTCCCGCTACAGCTACAAGTGCAGCCACTCTGGTCCTGACAAGGAACTCGATATTCTGGGAGGAACTGGCTCTGACCCCTGTTGTTCAAGCCCCACCCAGTTCCACTCCCGGCTCCCGACAGTGTGGGCCTGGACACTCTGGTCAGGACACATACCGATCATCTGTGCGATGGTCTTCTCATATTCAGCCACGATTTTCCTGAAAGAAAGGCAAAGGCCCGATGAACTACAGAGCCAGGGTGGTGTTAAATCCACCCCACAGCTGGACACTGTTACCAGTAGGCAACAGGACAAACCCAGCTGGTTAGTGTTGGGCTTACACCCTTGTATTCACGCTTGACAGGTTCCTTCTCCTGGCTTCTCCCTCAGTCCAGCACTGTTCGAACCTCTGACATCCCTGCTGTCTACTACGTGAAAGAACAGGCTAGACCTTCCACCGAATGGCTGAAGCCTTCAACACCCACGTCTCATTGCTTTCACAGGCTTACCACCTTCTAGCCAGCTGATGGACATGGTGGCTCAACATGAACAGACGATTTCCTCCTCGGTCTCGGCTTTCTCATTCCAAGTGTTGTCCGGGTTGCTTCTTACTTCCTCCCTCTATTTCTACCACTCAGAATCTGTCTCTCAAGGCCTAAATCAAATGTTTTTTTTTTTTTTTTCTCCAGGAAGCCTTTCTTGATTTCTCTTGGAGCTCCCTCACATTCTCTCTGTACCTTCTTCCAAAGCCTCAGAGAGCACAAGCTACAGAAGACACTACTTGGGGTAGGGGCACCTCAGCATGAACCACCACAAAGCCACAGACCAGGGCTGCCAGACAGCCAGAGGGCTGGGCTCCACTGACCTCATTTCCATCACTTCCCGCCTGCTCTCTTCATATTTGTCCCTCCACTCTGAGACTTCTCTCTCCTTGGAGATAACCTAGCGACAGGGAGACAAGAAAGGTAGATTCCCAAATGAGTGCCTTCATCTCTGACCAAATCCAGGATGCCTCATACACATGGAATGAAAACTTCTCACACAAAACCATCCAGAGAATCCTCCAAGAGGGAAAAATCAAGTGCCTTTTCTATAGCATGTGCCAGGGCTGTTAGCATGGTAACAAGGCAGGTCAGAACCCGTGGTGTGCCGCCCATCTAGCCTACAGTGTTCAGAGGACAGTCTCTCTCCAAAGACACCAGCTTTGGGGGTAATAGTTCCTGACAACTGGCAGACTTGGATCCTCTTCCTGGGGTCAAGAACATGGCCCTTCCAGATGCGGCAGGTCTCCTACCTCTGCTCTGGCAACTTGGAGTGCAGAGTCCAGGTCTGGCTGCGGGAAGAGAAGCCCCGGGGGCTTCTCCACCTCCGTGGGCCCGATGCGGGAGTACAAGGCAGTTTTGGAGATGGAGACGTCTGGGGGGTGAGCAGCTTCCCTCTGTGGAACGTGTTTTCATCAAGGAGAGAGAGAGAGACAGAGAACAGTTACTTCTAAAGACGCGACGGACGCGTGGCCCTGGAGACTGCATTCACGCGCTCAGCTGCATGGGGTGGAAACAAACACCGAGAGGATGAGAAAACTCGAAGACTCATGGATGGGGTGACGCCAGGTCCAGGCGATGGAAAGCCTTCATGTTACACATGTGCAGGCACACAAAGGGGCTGATGAGACGGCAGCCCCTGTAACTAGGAAGCATGTGGGCCCGGCATGTCTGAGGCCTGCTTATCACAGCTATTTATCAGGCACTGGGCCAACGGGGCACTGTAAGCAAAGAGCAGTCATCATTCTGTTGGCCCCACTTGCAAAATAAAGCCTTGCTGAGGACTGATACCGAAAGCCGGCCTACATGGCCTAGTTTTGTATAGCTGAAAATCAGATCATTTTGTACAACTGACTGCTTCTAAATTTGGTTGTGCTCACATGGGCCAGTTTAAAAGGATGTGATTTGCACAGCATTTGAAGCCTACCATTGTCAACCCTGTCACTTCTGCCCGGGTCTGAGACTATCTTGTTATCATGCCTGCTAAATAAAGAAGAGGAGGAGGAACGCTGGGGTCGATGACAGTATCTACCCACATTTCCTGATGAAGCCTACAACAAGTGCTGTGACGTTCTTCCCCACCCAACTTAACAACAGTCTGCAGCTTCATCTCGTTCTGTAGGGTTTACTGGCCTCAGAGAGGTGAGGAGGGGCACATGGGCGTTCTCTAATCACACAGAACATTAAGCAACTTGCAACACACTTGAACCCAGTGTTAGGAGCACTGTCAACCAGCATGGCCAGACTCGTCAGCCTACTTCCACGGCAACAGAAGCATCCAATCGGCCGCTCTCAGTCCTATGCATTAACCGCATCGTGCTGTCGCGGTTGCCAAGGAAGCTTCCATCCTAGTTAGAGCACTAGTCTACGCTGCGGGTGATGGTGGCCTGATGGGCAGAGCGGGGCTGCCCCACCCTCGGAAGACTGGGGGAACAAACTGAGCACTGAAGAGAACCCCTCCCCCCAGTTTTATAGAAAGAGGAGAGGAGACAGGAGGGTGAGGACCAAGAAATGCAGAGGTATCGCATTTTAAGGAACGCTTCTGTGGTTGTAGGAAGGGGTGGAGCTTAAAGCCCAAGAGCAGAATGTTTATAACCACAGGGCTAGCCAGCCGTCCATCACCTCACTGTAGTATCGGGGTCCTAAGGGCCTAAAGAAGGGAAGCACTTAGAAAATCGGGTAGGAGGGCAATGGATGGGACTGGAGGTGACAGTTTAGGATCGTTAGTTTTTACATGCAGGGTGCGCACAATGGTTTAGTTGTCCTGGAAGAGAACTGCTGTGGCCTGTATCTCGCTGTCCCTGCCCACCCTCAAGACTGTGGGCTCACCCTCAAGTGGCACTCTCGGATCACCTGAATCTCACTGTCCATGCCCGCCCTGGAATCCCTGGGCCCACTTTCAAGCGAGCCACATGATCAACCATCAGAGCCAGGAGCACACAGACCTGGTCAGCTATAGCATGGACCCCACCCAGTCCACATCAGAGGGGGTGCCCTGAATGCCTTTTTCAGCTTCTAGTCCTTGCAAGGTCTCTGTTTCCAGGACATCTGCCTAGAGCACAAGCTACCCAGCCCCTGGCAGCAGGTGGCTGGATCCCTGGAGAGAAAAGGCGCCCCCGGGTGGCAGGGCAGAGGCCCTGCATGGAGGGCTTACCTCTGCTCTGGACAACGGTTTACGGTGCTGCTTCTCTGAGGGAAACATCTCAGTAGTAACAGGAGAATTATAGCTGGGATGTCGACAGTTGTCGTGAGAAAAGCTCACAGACACAAAATTATGAAGATAATTTAAAAAGGAAGAACACACAAGCAAACCCTATTCTTTTCACGTTTAAAATGTGCTAAGGGGAGTGGGGTTGGGGCTGAAGGTGCCTCAGTGGTAAAGAGCACTGGCTGCTCCTCCAGAGGACTCATTTTCAATTCCCAGCACCTGTATGTTGGCTCACCCCAGTCCCAGAGGATCTGACACTCTCTTCCGGCTGCTGTGGGCACCAGGCACACACATATATACACACAGGCATGCCGGTAAAACAATCAAGCACATAAAGTAAATTTTAAAAATTAAAAAAAAAAAAAAGCAAATAAAATTTCAAAATGACTAGGCTGTTGGAGCTGTTAAACTCGGTCTGGTACTTCTGAAGACAGACACAGGATGTGAAAGGTTGGGTCTCAAGGTTTTCCCAAATGAGATCCAGTTCTGCCTCAAAGTAAAACAGCTCCTTGCAGTGCAAGAGAAAAAGAATTCAATAATGAAAATGAACTTCTAATAACACAGGGCAGGAGCTAAATATGACCAATGAACATATTAGAGATTGTTAATCTGCCTGCTTGTCCTTTGTAAAACAAGGAAGGGAGAAAAAATAAACAAAGATTTCTAAATGGATGCAAAGGAGTCAGGCCCTATGGTATCACCCTTCACCCACAGCCATTTGGCATTTTCAGTCAGGGAACAAATACTTTCAGGACCACCTTAATCCCCTGACTCCTACAGTTATCATCATGACAATGAACTTCAAGATTCAAACCTTGGTTCTTTCCTTCGGCCATGAACGTTTTCAAGTAAAATTAAAAGGTTTGTCCCTCACTAATATTTTAAGATTGGTTATTTCTAAACCCAGCTTTATTTCACAATCCTAGGCTTGCTGCTTCACTCAAGCCAAAAGGCCTCCAGAACCCTATTTACTAAAATGTGAAATGGGTCTCAATTCCAAAGGCACAGATCTTTGCTGCCACCTTCCACCCTCTACTTGTTTATTATGTGCTGGAAACTGTTAAGTCCCTCAGGCCACTGTCTTCCTCTCAGATCCCTGGGCTATGAGCCTCCTGCTGGCCTTAAGATAGGAGTCCAGTCATGAACTCAGGTCTATAGTTCTCCTTGTGGCCTTACTGTATTGCTAGGCCTTGGGGGTAGGGACAGGACATCATGATCATGGCAGATCAGTGTCCCCAGGGTAGTCAGAGGCAAACTCAGACTGAGGCTTGGGGAGCCATAAGGTGAGACCAGCGACCAGAAAAACCAAGCTAAGGCTCAGGGCCTCATATGGTATCTGGGCATGTGGCAGCATCAAGGCAGGAGAAGGACCCTGGCCAGATGCTCCACATCCAAATCTAACAGCAGACAGTTCCCAAGCCCAGGGATGAAAGCCCAGGTGAGGCACTTGGCCCCATACCTGGTCCCACTCCATAAAAGCATCATCACCAGACATCAACCAGCTGTGCCTGCCCACCATCAAGACTCAGCCTCCCAGCCTGTAAAATATAGGTTGCAATGGCAGATTCCAAAGCTGGAGAGCAAGCAAGGCCACTAACCAGTCCTCCGCCACTCTCCTTCAGGCTGCTGTTCTTGTGGTGTCCAGGGATGTGCCTCAACTGCAGACTAAGCATCAAGTGGTGGAGGCAAGGAGCCACTGCTGTGAGAGGCTCACGAGAGCCCAGTATGAATGGTGCTGGTTTCCTGTCCACAATACACATTGTCCCTGACATGGCGCTGCATTGCTTGACAATACACAAACATTCAACCCCTGGCCCCATTCTTGCTTCAGCTCATGTCAACTCTAGGCACCTGCTCATCTAAGCCAGGTCTTTCTGAGGTAATTACACACAGGATTCCCTCTGTGTGGGAACTGTTCCCAACCAAAAGTTTACCATTTATATGATCACATTCCTAAGTTGCTCGAACACATCTTTCCATCTTTCATCATCACTCTGGCTTCCCCTTATCAACAAAGGCCAACAGGTCCAGATATCAAAATCAATTTGTCATGCATGTAGAATTTTGCCAACATACCCTTCTATCCATACCTTGGGGGCCCAGGGATAGGATCACTGAGTATGGAATTCAGGGCTGCTGTACTGTGTAGGAATTCTGAGGGCTTACTCAGTCTCACCCCTTGGGGGACAAACAGAACTCGGCCACCAGCAGAAACAAGTGGGAGAAATGGAATGAGAAAGCCACAGTCAGGTGGGAGTGGGAGGAAGAGTTACTGTATGAAAAACAGTAACTTTATTCTCAATAATAAAGCGGGTGGTGGGGGTGGTGAACATGACTTTGGGAATGGGAAGGGGGCAATCCAGGAGGAGCTGGAAGGGTGAACATGATCAAAATACATTATATGCACATATGACGTTCTCAAAGAATAAAGTTTAAAAAAAATTAGAAGAAAGAAAGAAAGCCACAGCCTGACAGCCAGCTCTGGGGGACATCACTCCATTTCCAACTGACTCTGAGCAGGAGGACGCAGAGCTTCTCACTGCTCTTCTCTGTGGAGGCTGAGCCACCTCCGTCCATCTCAAAGCTGCTCTAGGGAACAGCCAGGACTCTCTGTTCCCATTTCCTGTTAATTTTTCATCCCCTCAAAATTATATCCTTCCTCCTAAATGGTTCCATTTGTGTGTGTATGTGTGTGTGTTGAGATCCACCATTTAAAGTGATACTGCCAGGAGAATTGGGCTACATCACCCACATCTGAGATCCCAGGGCAGAAAGGGCAACTTGGACCCACAGCCACTGTTTTCTATCTGTACATACATTGTTTCTGAAGCAGAGAGGGGCCACCAAGCACAGACACAGGCGAGAAGCCCACAAGGGACTTCTCAGGGACAGGCTGGTTAAAGCAGGAGCATCTATTTTCCATGCACTACGATGGCTAGGTATTTTTCCAAACGCAGCACAAGTTACTACAGTAAATGGTCCTCCCATCCCAGCAGGGCTCTAGCTCTACCTCCACAGAACCTTCCTCAGCATACTTCTGAAGCACAGCAGGAGATGACGAGGGTTTTCTCTCAGCCTATCCTCTGTGAGTCTGTGTGGCATTGCTGTCTACATCGAAACCGAACACATGTTCTGGGGCTGCCCCGGATAGGATGTCAACACCGGCACACTCTTAGGAGACAGGGTACCCACCTCCCAGGAGGCTTTGTTCTCATCCTGAACTACTCATCAGAACATGCCCAAATCTACTTCAGTGTTCTCCAGGACAGGATAAACCGTGTTTACAGTGGTCAAACTTTAGGCAACTCGCTCTGTCTTAACGTTATTCTGCAAAGATTCAAGGAAGAAATCCAGTGGGGGTGGGTTGTGGGGATGGGAGAGGGCAGCAGGGTCCTCAGCGCTTGGTGGGTTCTGAAAACCTCTCTTTCATGGCAATTCACCTCAAGTTTATACTTTGGCAACAAGAACAAAGATGTGTCTGGCTTCTGTTTACATTCTTAATCCTACCCTGTGTCCCACTGTCCCCAGTCTGGACACCTACATTACGACAACCTCCTGTCTCCGGGGACAACCTGATTTGGGTGATAGCTAGGGAGATAGCATGCGTGGGCTCTTGGGGCAAAGCAGAAGCTAGGATTTCTGTTCCTAGACCATAGCTGGGAGGTTCTCTGCAAATGACCTACAGTGTGATGTGGAGATGGACAGGCAGGTCTACCAGTGACCCCAGCTCTAGTCCCCATAGGCTGTAAACTCTAGATATGTGGCCCTGGCCCTGCCTCCCAGTCCGTAGAGTGAGCCTTAGCTCTGCTCTCCCAGGAGAGGTGCTGTGAACATCCTAGTGATCAACAAAAGCAAAGTGCTAGCTAACAGCAGCAGCCGCTTGTGCTAACCACACACCAGCACACATTAGGTATGCAGGCACAAAGCTACTGTCCGCACGCAAGGGCTTCACCTCCACAGGCAAACTGACTCTGATGGGCCTCATTTCAGAGACTGAAAGACGGAGGCTTTCAGTGAGCTTCACTAACTCATGCGAGGCTCAAACTACAGGACAAAGCAGGGTCCAGCCCTGGTCTCACACAGTTCACTGGGCTGGCCTAACTCACGGTGGGGCGGACAGTGAGGCGGGGGCCACTGCTCATGGGCAGCTGTGGGGTAAGATGCTATCTTCATGCCACCATCATACAGTTAAGAATTACTAACCCCACAACTGTAATCCCAGCACTCGGGGGAGGCAGAGGCAGGCAGATCGCTGTGAGTTCGAGGCCAGCCTAGTCTACAAAGTGAGTCCAGGGCAGCCAAGGTTACACAAAGAAACCCTGTCTTGAAAAAAAAGGAAGAAAGGAAGGAGGGAGGGAGGGAAGGAAGGAGGGAGGGAGGGAGGGAGGGAAGGAAGGAAGGAAGGAAGGAAGGAAGGAAGGAAGGAAGGAAGGAAGGAAGGAAGGAAGGAAGGAAGAAAAAAAAAAAAGAAAGAATTACTATCCCAAGCCTAGAAGCTAGGTGGGAAGACTGAACGTCCTATCAATGTCACACGACGCAAAAATCAAGGGTAGGTGGCATACTCTGGTCTGTGGACCAAATGGCCTGTTACTCCTTATGTGGAAAAAAAAGTAGACACTTCTCTGCATACTGCCAGTCTGTACTGGCAACACAGCAACAAAGCAGAGCGGCTGTGACAGAGATGGTATGTCCTGCAACTCGAGATGTCTGCCCTGGCTCTTCATCCTTGTCTAGACCATCAGTCAACGTCCTGGAACAAGTCTGTTTTCACATCCTACTTATTACTCACTCTCAGTAAGGCTGGATGCAACCTTTTAGAAAACAGAAAAGTTAGAAATGATTTTGTCCTGTAGAGGCACAAAGGGTGTCTTATCTGCAGCAAAGGAAGATAACCCTGGGGCGGGGGGGGGGGTATCTTGTTTTGTCCTGGTGAACCAGTACTAACCAGTTTTACACATAATTAGTCTACCGCCTTATTCAAAACCTTTTTAATCCCCTGGGCTATGTGCTGGCTTCTCTCACTCTCCTCTGTCCGGCCACACTATCTCATCCCCACACTTGTGCTCAGTGTGTGTTTGTGCAAGAGTCACACTTTCAGCTTCAGAAAAGTCACACTCCATGGGACCCCCACAATACCCGCTTGGCCAATGGTTAGCGAAGCAGCTCTGGGACCCTGTGGCACACACAGCATTCCCAGAAGGCAGTGCACTGCAGCGGCAAACAGGTACCTTGGTGTCCTGGCGGCTGCGGGAAGCCAGGGCGATCTGCCTGGCCAGCTTCAGGGCTTCTATCCGCATGATGGCAAACTCTAATTCCTCCTGCCCAAGGGGTAGGGGTGAGCGAACCGTCGGAAAATGCGTCAAGACAGACAGAAGGTTTTCCACATCCAGGAATGAATGTGCCACATAAATGCATCATGACAGGTACTCGTGGAAAAACATACGTTCAGCTTTCTCTCACAACCAACACCTCAGCAGATCATGAAACAGGGGTTTAAATTTCTTTTTCTTTTTTTTTTTTTTAAAGTCACCCCTTTGAATGTTTGTCAGGAAATATCACGCAGTCAAATGTGAACTAATTTTTAAGCTGGATGGCAATTTTGACTCTACTGTATTCCTCGGTTTCTTTTCTTTTGTATTTTAAGAGTTGGCCAGCACTTGCTGTAAATGGCCACGCATCTCTCTGATGTCTGTTAACAGTCTCTCCAGGCCTGCCTCACTTCCTGGTCCAGGGGAGAGCAAAGTGAGCTGTCAAATTTCCACTATAGAGATTCTTGTTTTGGTTCCAGATGTAAGACTAAGTCCAGATGTTATCTCTGAGAATCTGGGGTCGTTTTGTGCATTTAAATAGCTTGGCTTGACCCGATACTTCTAGTTTAGTGAATAAATCACACAAACACTGCCTCTGGGGCTATCAATACATCTGAAAAATGACTATTGAGACCAATTTCCCAATAGAAATAGAAAGTCTGTTTGGTACATAATCACACAATTTTCATAATTCTGGCATCCTAGACATAGCACACACACACACATATTGGTGTCTGAGAAGAAAACACTTCATCTGGAACATTCCAGTATTGCCTCATTAAGTCCTGCCTCAGCTCAATTTGGCTCAAGGGTTCATTTTCTACTGAGGTTTTGACGAACTCTCAAAGGGTCACATGTGGGCTACAAACCTGAAGTTTCTGAGCAAATACTGGGGGGTTCTTTTCTGCTAAGTCAGGCTCCAGATAGTCAAGTGCACCACAGAGAGAAGCAGGATGGGCCAGCCTGCTTAGGAGGGCATCCGCAGAGGCAAAGGCAGCCTCCGGAGCTGTCTGGAGGCCGGCAGAGAGAGAAATGGAAAATAGAGGAGAGTAGAAAGGTATTGATTTCAAGCAAGGACCACACATGCACACACAGCACACTGCTGCATTAAGGCTAAAGAGAACATCAATTAGCAGCCAGTACTCTCCCCAAAGCAGGCCCTCGGGTGCCCTCCCCACCCTGGCCCTAGCCATCCTGCTTCCCAGTCAGTATGGTGGGAACCACATGACTACTGCTTTTTGTATTTGAAAATACCCATGGGTGGGAGGCAAGCTGGTTGACGGGTTTTCAAAATGCCAACATAATTCCTCAAAGGAACAGCACCAAGGATAAATATCAAGGAGGGTGGGGTTTGAATAAGGGCCATTTTCAATAGTGAAAAGATGATTTCAACCAAAAAGGGAACTCCTAGTAGATTAGAGAGACCTCCAAATCAGAGGGTAACATTGCAGGAGATGGCCAAGTCTGCCACGGTATTGATGTGCAAGATCGATTCACATCTAGACCCTTTTACTGTTCATTAATTGTGTTTCCAATATCCAACTCAGCATCTAACTGCCACATATACGGCAGGAGCTCTCTAAATATCTGTAGCGGAAGACAGATCCTAATATAGAACAAAAGCAGCACACTAAATCAATAGTTTCAAACCTCTATGAAAGACTGCTAGGAGGGAGCTGAAAGAAATAAAAATATAATTGACCAAAATTGGTTTAAGACACATGGAGACCCTCTTGTAGATATCCCACACTCTAGGGAGACTATGTTACAGGTAGGGAATCAGGACAGTGAGGCCTCAGCTCAGTGCTATAGATCCTGCAAGGCTTCAGGAGGGCGTGGAGAGAAAAAAAAACTAGAAGTCCTGGACCATGAACAAGAGAAATCTCCCATTGCCAAGACCCTGGAGAAACACAGATGATCCCCTCTCTTGCTGTATAGGCTAGAGAGGCAGGGGCTGGCTGAGCATGGCTCCAGCTTGTCCATCAGTCTGGTTTCAAGTAGAGGAAAATGGAAAACAGCCTGAGCCAATAAAGCACTTGACTGAGAACCGCAGTCATGGTGGGAGCAACGAGAGGCCTTCCCCTCACTGTGAGATGTGGGGTCTCCTGGACTGACTGCTGTGGTCTAGGGGCCAGAGTGGATTCCCGCGGCCAGGGGAGCACATTAGAGGGCCCAGACACTGAGCCCATCAAGCAACACTTACGACTTCAATCGCCTCCGCAGGGGTGCCCAAGGCCATGGCCTCCAGCTCCTTCTGGGAGGATTTCTCTGGCACCTGCAAGAGAGGCTCCTGGTTGGAGGCCAGCCCTCGTGTGACAGGATGCTGGAGTTTCGTTGCAGCATTTACAAGGGCTTCAGTCTCCTCAAAACTCGACCTGAGGAAACAAAGCCAAATGTTAGGATCTTCTCCCTGGAGACTCTCTGAAGTCTATTAGGAAGCCCTGATTAAAGAGACAACATCCCATAAAAAGCGGGACTTCTAAGCCTGTGTTCAAGGAGAGACAAAGGCTATGTCTTCAGTGACCATCCATCTGAAGGCAGGCCATAGTCCAGCCATGTTTAAGGGCCAACTGACCAGGAAGGGACAGAATTCAGATGCCTTTGTCCAAGGGACTGAGCTCTGGAGTTTAGGGACTAGCCAGCTGCTTGTTTGTACACTCTGAGGGTGGAGACTGTGCATCCCAGCTACTTTCTTCTTTTTGGAATATGAAGATGTGCATCTTTGAGAAGATGAAGTAAGATGCTGTATGAATGCAAAGACTTCAAGCACAGTGCCTGTCACACGGACCACTCCTGGAGAGATGACATCGCTGCCCTCAGCATCACTAACACCTACCATCTGGATAGATTCTGGTCTGCAGGGTCCTCAGTAAGTCTGAGAAACCAAAGTGAGAACTTCCAACCCTGCTCCGTACAGAGCAGACACCCAGTGGGGGATGGGACAACCTAGATAACAGAGCACTTCCCCAATCAGAAACTCCATCATTCGGAACGTGGACCCTGGTACACACAAATACTAACAACCACATTAATAAGAAATGCCTGCTGTGCACTTTACACATGCCAGGCGCTCTGCTACGGGCTTTCCGTACGTCAGTTCCTAGAAGCCAGGCTCCCTGTGTCCACCACTTGGCTGCTCTGCAGACTAACAGTCTCCTTTAATCTCCCTAAATTGCTAGAGGTCATTTTTTATTCCTCTCACTTTACACAGGGAAACTAAGGCCTAGGACACCCACGTAACTCCCACCAGATACAGAGCTGGGACGTAAGCACTCCGTGTTGTCCTACACTGCCCCTATTGGATAGATGACAAAATAAAGTGGAGTTTAAACACACATACTCTCTCTTGCTCCCTCCCCATCCCCCTCTCTCTCCCTCCTTCTTTCTGTGTGTGTGTCCGCCACACAATACTGCCAGTCAGCTGTTTCACCTTCATTCAAAGGGCCCTGAGGAACAGAAGTGATGTGTCTGTGCCTTGTGGATAGAGTAAATAAATTATGGGCTATCTGCAGACATGCAATGGAATGAAGTCAGGGTAACAGTAAGAAGGCAAACGAGGACGTGGGGGGTCCTCTGGCCGAAGCCACAACTCTTTCCTCATAGGTCATACCCTGAACATGGAGTTGGCGAATCTGACATCCGGACTGGAGGAGACTTGATAGGGCTCTCCTGAGAGGTGTCGAACATAAGGTACAAGGCCTGCTTCTTCGGAGTGTCAGCGTCCTGCTGCAGGAATCAAATCACATACACATCAGCTGGGTACAGCGACCTGAGTGTGCCACCCCAGTGAAGAAAGCACTCGCCAACAAGGACGAGTAGCCTTCAGTTTTCTCAAGTTCCCGGAAGAGAACACGGGAAGCGACAAGGAGAGAGCCAGGAGGGTAGGAGAGAAGAGCCTGTGGAGATCTGAGGTGGGAATCACCCTCAGGTGCTGCAGGGAACCCTATTCAGCCCTCAGTGCTCATGGGCCACAGCAGTGAACACCAGTGCTGAGGATGTAGAGCCAGCCAAGCTCTCAGTCCTCACAATGGAGTGGGGGACGGCAGCGGGCTGACCCCAGTGATGAGCACCGCCAGTGGAGCCCTGTGGTGGTTTAAATGAGGTATCCTCAACAGTCTTGGGTATTTGAATACTTGGTCCTCAAATGATGGTGTCTGGGAGGTCTAGGAGGTGTGGCCTTGCTGGAGGAAGGCAAGTTACTAGAGTCAGGTGTGAGGGTTTAAAGAGCGCTTCTTGTTACGGTTCGAGATGTGCTCTGCTTGGCTATCACGGACTCTTCTCCCTCCGAAACCATACCCCCCAAATTAACCCTTCTATAACTTGTCTTGGTCATAGTGTTTCCTCCCAAAACAGAAAAACAACAGACCCCAAAGAAAGAGACAGAAATGGAAAGGCTTCTTCCTTCTCGGCTGGGCAGGAGAGACATGAGCAGATCCCATGATGGGGGCTGCGGCTCACAACCCTGGGAGTCCACCCCTGTTCAAGGCCTGGAGCAATGAGTGTGGGTGGGAATGGGGGCTGACATCTCTAGGCAATGGGACAGCTCTGAAAGACCCTGTGCAGCCTTGCTGGAGACCCCTGAGAAGCCCCTGCCAGGCCAGTACATAGGAGGAACTCACAGGTAAGGAGGAGCCAAGCTTTTCCATGTATTCAATTTCATAGGAGTTTCTGTAGTCCAGCTCTGAAAACAAATAGGCCAAGTGAGTACAAGGGGAAGACGGAGCCAGCCCAGCAGAGGGCGCACCAGCATGTGGGGACCATCTAAATCTCAAGACCCAGCCTCCAGAGTGGCACAGCTCAGCTGTTTTCAGATGGTAAGCTTCCTGCTGGTACGAGTTTGGGCCCTTAGAAATATGAATGAGTCCCAGGCAATGAAGCTGTGTGTGAACACACAGGCCAGCCACGGGCAGACCCATGTGCTTCCACTGTGCTCAGACTGGAAGGCACGTGTGCTTTGGAGTCTTTTTAACCCCTAACTATCAAGGGCTACACATAGAATGACAGGTCACAGACACATCTTGGAACTAACTGTTTTGTACCTGTCCCTCTCTGGGAACTCAGCAGCCTCACTCTGAACCCAGAGAAAGGCAGCAACGCCCTTCCACTGCGCCTTCATCAGCTGCTTATTCCCCCCAGTTCTACTGGTTGCTTCGGGGCTGATATCTGCCATTTTGAGAGAATATCTTACTAAAGCTGCTTTTAGAGGTCTCTCTTGAGGTCCTGTAATCCCAGTTACTTGGTACAGTATGTGGGTTCAAGGCCTGCCTGGGCTACAGAGTTAGATTCAAAGACAGCCTGGGGAGCTTAATGAGGTGACTCTTGTGATTCTTGTCTCAGACTGGGCTCCAGATGTAGCTCAGTAGGAGTGCTTGCCAAGAATGTGGAGTGCCCGAGGTACTATTCCCAGTACAAGGAAGAAATGAGGGAAATGAGGCTTGAAGGAAGGAAGGAAGAAGAAAGAAAGGAAAAAAAGGAAGGAAAAAGGAAAGAAAGAAATCTCATCTACTTTAAATTCTAAACCTCAAAGAGTAGGCCTGCGGGTGAAGTCAAATGCAATCAGCCCCTCTCACACCAGGCCGTGCCAGGCCACGCCAGGAGAGGAAGAGTTCCATTACTGGCACCAAGCGGCATTTGCTTTTACAACTTCAGGGAAGGCTGAGTCACTGAAGGATGGGGCTATTTCACACTGAAGAGGTCCACAGTTCTTTTAAAGAGCCCTCTCGTATCCAAGGACCACTTTGGAGAATTACCTCACCCTGGGACATCACGCAGCAAAGAAGACTTAGCTATTTTCTCGAATCTAGGAGCTAGAGCTTTGCTAGGGAAGCTCCCTGGGCAGAAAGCGAAGGGTCTTCATTTCTAGGACCAGTGAAGTCAACTGACCGGACTTCTCTGAACCTCGATGACAAAATGAAACCCAAAATGCTACAATGCCGTGGATAAATGGCAAGGCAGTGGTGACACACGGCTTTAATCCCAGCACTCACTCGGGTGGCAGAGGCCGGTGGATCTCTGTGAGTTCAAGGCCAGTCTGGTCTATAGAGCTAGTCCCAGGACAGCCAAGGCTACACAGAAAAATCCTGTCTCAAACAAACAAACAAACAAACAAACAAACAAAGGCAAACACAAAAGTCCTACAGTGAGTTGCACAAATGTGAAGGATTGTGACTTAATGTTTTGTTGTTGCCGTTTTTTAAATTAAGGGGAGATAGATGGACAGAGAGCCCTGGAGAAAAATGAGGAGACTCCATTCACCTTTTCCTGTTCCCTGTTATGAGACAACCATGATGCCCACCCAGACAGACACCTTTCCCTCTGCTGGATATGGGAGAAGGGGCTAATGCAATTATGTATAAGGAGGTGGTGCCACCAAAATGGCCACGCGGCTCTGTGGGTCTAAAGCAGCTGCTCAGGGATGCAGGGATGGCTCAGTGGTTAAGGATATGCAATGCTGTTCTTCCAAAGGATGGGATTCGGTTCTTAGCACCCACACTGGTTGGCTCACAACAGCCTGTACTCCAGCTCTTTGGGATCCAATGTCCTCTGGGCTCCAAGGACACCCGAACACACATGATGCACCTAAGCTCATGTGATCACACACTCAAAATAAATAAATCGAAAACAAGGCAAAACAAAAGCAATTGCTATCAGGGTGTCTTAGTTCCCAAGGCAGGTGAGGTCCTGGAGACAGACAGGCTAGCCTGTTTCCTAATTTTCTCCTCCTTAGAGAACAGGCTTATTTCCATGCCACCATGTCTGAAAACAGTGCAGGGGGGTGTTCATTAAACAGGTGGGCACACGTAACCGTCAATCAGAGTGTGTCCTCCCTGGGAGATTATGGAGGCAACACAGTAAGGTGACATTCAGCCCAAACAGGGCACCGCAACTACTAGCAGGTAACTGCTTAACTACTGTCCTCTGGGGTTTAGAAATAGCAAAGACAGCTCGAAGCTCTTCAGCATTGCTTGTGCACCCAGGTAGGAGAAACGTGACTAGCTCACACCCTCATTCTACAAATGAAGGCAAAGAGCCTGATCTAGAACCACAAAACCAGGCAGGCGTGGCATGAACGGATCACCCCAGGCCCTCCAACGCTAAGCCTCTGTTTCCTCAGTCTTGAAGTGGGGAACTACAGGATCTACCACAGATCGTGGAGGAAATGAGGCCTCTGTGTGCAAAATAATAGTCCCTGCTTTACTCTTCTCTCCTATAGAATTAGCATTGCTGTGAATGTGTGTTCAAATAGTAATTATGATGTCTAACCCAGTATTTCCGTTTTCTGTGGTTGGTGACTTCCACACGATGAAGTCTCAGACCACAGCTGCAGCCCTGAACTGATTCCTTCCAAGGATCACATCGGCACCCACAGATGTCTGATGTGCAGAACAAGAGGGAGAACCTGATGAGAGGGCTCTCCATCCAGAGTGTTACAGAGATGAACTCAGCAGCGCCAATCTTCCCAGAGCCACAGTGCCTTCACACACACATGGATGGATTCTATCACCCAACTGCTAAAACTGATCACCGCTTGCCAAATCTTTACTGATATTTTCTTTTTGTCAAGGAATTTTTGTTTGTTTGTTTGTTTGTTTGTTTTTGTTTTTTCAAGACAGGGTTTCTCAGTGTAGCCTTGGCTGTCCTGACTCATTTTATAGACCGGGCTGGCCTCAAACTCACAGAGATCCACCTGCGTCTGCCTCCCTGAGTGCTGAGATTACAGGCGTGTCGTGTGCCGCCGTCCCTGGCTCTTTACTGATATTCTCTAAGGAGGCAGGTTTAACAGAGTTTTGTTTTAAAGTTAACCCTAGGCCTATTTGCTGAGTCTCTCTCTCTCTGTGGGGGTGTGCACAGCACAGTGCATGCATGGGTATCTTCTTTATCATGTTAAGAGCCCCCAGATCAAGCGTTAAAGGCAAGCAGGGAAAGGAGACAAAGGTTGAGACAGGCAAAGGTGGGAAGGGAGGGTGAAGCTCTGGTTCCCGTCTCTACCTTCCAGACTGCTGGGAGTACAGGTGGGCGCCACTACACCTGATGTTTATGCACTGGAGAACGAATCCAGGCCTTCATGCATGCACGCTACCAACTGAGAACACTGCAGCCCTAAGATACATGACTCATTCAAACCGCCATCAGAGAGAAAGCAGAAACTGAACACACAGCACAAAGGAAGACACTGAGATAAGACAAGGGCTCGGGACCTTCCCAGAGCAATCAAGTCCTCATTAGCAAGCCAGGAGGTAAATCTGTGGCCCCAGGCTTGATTAGAATGTGTGGCCATATTGTCTGACCATCCTGTGGGGGACATGAACAATGACAGTACCAAAAGACCCACAGGTGGGTTGATACAGTCCCAGTTCAGAGTGAGTGATGTTCCTTTGGAGCTGTGCCTTTCAAAGCCACGGAAGGTATCACAAGCCATACAGCCAAGAATAAGCAAGTGAGGTTTCAGGGTCTGGGTTAGCGGGTTCTAGTCTGGTTCTCAGCAGGCGTCACGGCGTCAAGGGAAAGCTGCTCTCACGCCTTAGCTTTGCATTCCGTGGGAGACTGACACACGGGTAACGGTTACCTGGCTGGCAAGTGTCTTTTCTGGCTCTTTGCCCCCTAGGGACAGTATTCTCCAAGGCAAGGTGTGGGTCTGGCTGGCCACCGAGTTGCTTACCCTCTGAGGGTGAATTGAATTTGGTCTCATTTACAAAGTTAGACAGGTCCGAGGGCTGTGGGAAGTCCTGTTTGTCGGCATCCAGGTCCACGGTCATACACGTCCACTTCTGGCTGGTGACGGCCAGCTTCTCCTCATCTGTGGCATGGACCACTGCAGAGATTGCTGGGGGTGCTTCTGGTGTGGCAGCTGGAGTGGGGTCCTGTGAGGAGAAGGGACAGCCCCATCCTTCAATCAGTCTCCCAACCAGAAACCATGCCTTTCAAACCAGGGAAAGCCCTCCATCTGTTCCCCTGGGACTCTGGTCTACAGAGCCACTCAGTTCCTCTGTGGATCTCCCTTTCCGGTGGTTGCTTTCAGGAAGTGACCGTGGGCTTATCAAAATTAATTAATTAATTTTTAAAAAGCTGGATATGGTGGCTCCCGATTTGAACTGCTAGGACCGTGAGACTAGACTGGGCTACGGCATAAGGCCCTTTCTTCAAGGACTGGAGCTGTGGCTCCACAGTGGGGTGCTTGCCTTGCATGTGCACAGCCCTGGCTCCAGTTCCCAGCACTGGAAACAAGAGGCCTCAGGGCAGTGGTTCACTGCTGTGAGCCCAGCACTCAAAAGACTGACACTAGCCTGGGCTAAGTAGTAAGCATCGGGCCAGCCTGAGCTGATGTGAGGCCCTGTTTCAAAACTAAACAATAAGTAAGTCTCTGGCTTGTTGTCTGAGACATCTCAGCTAGTGTTACAGTCATGTCAGCAACACCGTCTGACCATCTTCACACCAGTCCTTCTGAAGAGAGGAGGGGGCTTTACTGCCATTGTACAGGGTAAGAAGAACCCAGGGGAGAGGGACAAGTAGGTCTCTTATGCCTGGGGCTAAGGTTCTAGTTCCACCTGGTCAGCAACTAAAGCTGGTTTGGATCTGAAGACCAACTTCTCTTATAACCTAGAATGGTAGCAAGATAGCCTGAGGACCACCTTGCTATACAGAGGGTAGAAGACATAGCATGAGCTTGTCAGAAATACAGCTGAAAGAGAAAGCCCCCACTTCTTTTTCCTAAAGATTTATTTTATGTGTGTAAGTGTTTTTTCTGGGTGTATACACACACACATACATACATACATATATACAAATGCATATATATATAGAGAGAGGGGGGGCATATAGATATGCACCATGTGTGTACAGAACCCACAGAGGCCAGAAGAGGGTGTTAGAACCTTGGCACAGACAGTTGTGAACCACCATGTGCATGCTGGGAACTGGACTTGGATCCTCAGCAAAGCAGCGGGTGCTTTTAATCACTGAGCCAGCTCTCCAGCCCCAAGTTGCCATTTCTTAAGGGTAAGCTTGCCTCATCGTCACACTCTAATTCTGATGGCAAAATCTGCTATTCCTGATATGTATTCAGTTCTCCCCCCATTTTCTCATTCTGCATCCCAAAAGACCCTCTCGGTGACTAAATGGCCACAACAGACTAGAAGAATTCCTGCCATAAGATCCAGCTCTCATTAATTTCTCAACTAATTCCCCTCAGCACACTCCTTGCTCTCTTCCAAGGTGAATTCTGCCCATTTTTTCATGTACGTGCACGTGTGCCAGAGTGTGTATAGGCATGTGTGTACATGTGCCTGGTGTGTCCATGTTCAGACAAAGCAGCACTAACTCCCCGTTCAGCAGTATAGTACTCAAGGAATCAAGAGAGTGCCATACCTGAGAAGGTGGATCAGACAGAGGGGACCGCTTTGGCGACTTCTTCACCCTAAATGTGTCACTGTAAACAGGAAACGCAAACACAGGGTCACAGATCATTCCCAAGCAGCTGGCGGCTTCCCAGCCTCCCACCTACCAAACCCCAGCCACAGGGGCCCCATGGCAACAGCTCATTCTGACTTTTTAACTGATAATACTTTTGCCCCCAAGGGAAAGACCCATCAAGCTGAAAGCCTTTAAAGACAAGCCATTTTGGAGAGCTGACCCAGAAAAATGCAGCTAAATTTAACTAACCCTTCTTACTTTTCTAAAAGCAAAGTTGTATTGAGGAGACTAATTTGTGAGCCAGTTAAGGTTGGGGGAGGGGCCACAGGCTCACAACACTAATTAACAGTTTTTCCATGGGCAAGGAGACACAGCTCTTAATGAACAGCCAGAGGAACCCAGACAGACACAGACAAGTTCTAGCTCCCGTGGGGATCCTATGAGCCCTTTGTATGCACAGGAACACAGATCGCAATGAATTCTTCTGCTCTGGAAGACTCTGGGTAGGATGCTAATTAAGGCAGAGTCAAGGAAGATGGTACTTTATGTCTGTCCCTGGCTATGGTTAATGGATAAAATTCCATAATCTTTTCTCCCTTTCTTCTTTCTTCATTCAAGGTGGGACGTCAGGTTGACCCCAGGAGAAAGGGATGGGTTTTAGCATAAATAGTTCTATTTGGTCTATTAGTAATCACCATGCTCTTGGGGTCATTTCTAAAATCAAAAATGAACGCCCTCAACCTGCAAAATGGTCCTTCCCTCCTGGTTTCCATCCCTCCCCAGTGTGGTTTTAGGACCAGGCAAAGCCCGATCTTAGGTGTGGAGGAGACGTGGTCCCTCCCTTTAAATCCATCACACTCCTGTTTCCCATATTAGCTAAGTAGGTAGGGAAATCTGGCTCCCAAGGTCCTTCCTTGTGTACTCTCAAATAAAACACTCCAACAATGGCATTTGATCATTACAAAAATATAGAGACCATAAATGGTTATTTATAGCATTTATGGCACTTGCCATAAAAACAGTCCAGCCCCAACATAAAGCATATATTTATTCATGCATATAAATATATAACTGTTTCATAGTTGCTGAATGACTTGAAAATACTAAAGAAGCTGCTTGGGTAGGACAGAATTAGGAGACTCATGCTACCCAAGGGGGCTGCCAGAAGCCTGGGTCCAGGCCAGCTTCCCCCATAAGGGCAGGGAAAGGCACATAGATTCAGAGCCCTGAGCCCTGCCCTGGCCCTAGGTACAAAGCACCAGAGGCACACAGGTGGCCAGTTGCATTGATGCCTGGGAAAGCTACTCATAGATTAGACATAAGTGACCAGGGACATGACCCAAGGAACTCTGGCAATGGATCTCAGGGTGGCTCCACGCTGAGCTGATCCCACATTCTCTTAGATTTTTACAAGCATGAATTTGGAAGAGCCCAATGGTTGTGTTTCACAGTATAACCAGAACTGGTTTTAGCGGTCTCTGGCCAGGCTTCATGCAGTGATTAATACAAAAGTGTCCTGCGACTGCAAGCAATCACCCACAAGCCCTACTTACAACAAAAGAACGAAATGCAAAGTTAAAATGTATATATTTCAGATGGAGATTAAAAACAAAACAAAACAAAACAAAAAAAACCCACAACCAACCAACAAACAAAATACCAAGCGGGTTCCATTCCCAACAAGCAGGCAGCTGTTGGCTAATCACATTTTTTCACAGCCAGGCAGTCTCATGCTAATCACGATGAAACAGAAAAGGAACCTTGACTTCAGGGGAGCCCTGTACCCATCAGTCAGTCATCCAAGCTCTATACAGAAATACAGGAGCCAGCACAGAGAGGAAAGGGAAAGGGGTTGCAAGCAGAAACAAGGCAGCAGCCCCACATTGGGTGCAAGAGGCAGATTGCATTAAATTTACTTACAACAGAGAACACACAGACATCACATCTTCAACCATCCTAAGACAAGAAGACAAAGAAGAGAGACAGACAGAGGAACTGACAAAAAGATAAATCTGCAGGCACTGGGCACTAATGAGTTAGGATGCGGCAGCCATCCATAGCGGATTCTGCTCCATGATGCAACAGTGCAGCCTTCTGGGAAGGGGTTGTTGGGATACAGCTTCCTCTCCAGCATCTGGCCATCCGGAGGGCTGGTACCTAAGCTCTGCCTCCGCGTGGTAATCTTCCAAACCAGCAGACCCACAGGTACAAAGGGTGAGACCAGGATGCAGGGTCAGCTTCCCCAACCTTCCAAGGAGAAAGTGACTGGGGATGTACTATGCTATCTTGGGTCAGAAGGGAGTGGCTATCAGGTCACTCACTTTACAAGGATGAGAAGTGGTGGCTTTGAAGTGCAGTCATTTGTGGGTATTATTATTCCTTTTTTTTTTTTTTTTTTTTTCTGAGACAGGGTTTCTCTGCGTAGCTCTGGCTGTCCTGGAACTCACTCTGTAGATCAGGCTGGCCTCAAACTCAGAGATCCGCCTGCCTCCGCCTCCAGACTGCTGGGATTAAAGGCGTGCGCCACCACAGCCAGCTTTATTATTCTACTTTTAAAATAAAGTTCTATGTGGATTTAGGTGAGTGGGGAGGTAGGGAGTGTCTGGGAGGAGTTGGGAGAGGGGAAACTGTAATCAAAATATACTGTATAAAAAAAAAATCTATTTTCAACAAAAATTAAAATTATGTATATCTATATATCTATATGGTTAGAACCATATTTATATGAGTCTTACAGAATCTCAAGAAGGGCCCGATAGAGGAAAAGAGCTTTAAAAAGTCCATGGAGCCAGAATGTCCTTCAACTACTGTAAGTTGGTGGTACAGTAATCCAAAGCCAATGCCTGCTTGCTAAAGAACACCTTCTTGGCGAACCTTAGTTATTCTCAGATATTTGACACAGATGGGTCTCCTTGTCTTATTCAAACCAAGTAGAACCAGAAGGGCAGTACTGGAGCTTGGTCCACTGCCCTCAGAACGGGGGTGCGGCTTAGTCTCTTCCACCCGATTATATTACAGCTGACACTTCCAAGAGAGCCAGGATATCTATAAGAACCTTGCACATGGTCCTCAGGATATTGGTCCTCAGGAACGGATCTATGGCAGACTAGGTTGGATGAGTGCCAGGGCACCAACACAGGCATTCTAGGGGCAGTGTCTTTGGCAAGTGTTTGTGGACAAAAGCCACAAAAACTTAGGGATTGTAGGGTCTGCTTCCCCCATCCAGGATGCACCAATCTCTTCCGGTCTTACAGAGACTTTCAAGCCTTATTTGAAAAAGATGACTAAAGGCAACAAAGAGCCTGTTTCTTTCAGGGTCGTCAGAGGGCAAGAAGCCGCTCTCTGTCAGGGGCCTCCTGCAGCCTGGTACCATAATGATGTCCCTGAGTTAAAATCACAAGCAGGTAGAAATAAATGCTGTACATCTTAACAGTGTTTTGCAGGGTGTATATCCCATTTTATCCAAAGGCAAAGCGTATGCTAACCAGGGAATAGTTCAGCCACAAACAGGAAGGTGGCCAGGCCTGCTCCTTGTCTATGGAACTTCCCACATTCCTCTGAAGTTGAAAGGTCATCATTGGCTAAACATAAAACTTTAAGCCACTGACTTATTAAGGCAAAAGATCACAGACTTTCTGGGTTCCTCGATGGGAAGATGATACCGCTGAGGCTGCAGGGGGAAAAGAAACGTATATCCTGCCTACTTGGAGAAACAGCCACAAAGATGGTGTCATTACAGCAACAGGGGGCAGGATGAGGGCAGCTGGGGATTTTCCAGGCACAGGACTAAAAGACACAGCAACGAATACACACCCACTCTGAGTCCTCCCACGTCCCTCCTTGAACTTACGTCTTTAGCGGGGTCTTCTTCTTCTTGGCGGGTTTATTCAACCCATCCCCATCCACTTCGATGGTGCTGGCTGGGATCTCAAAAGAGGCTGGGGATTTAGAAGGTGAGCTGGGGGTCTTAGAGGATGTCTTAAAGGGGTCAAGGGAGTCTTCACAGGCATCGGGGTCAAAGTTGTATGATTGTTGGGGCAGTTTGGGAGACTCTTGCATTTTTGAGGTGGAGGAAAAAGGGTTAAAATTAGGGTCATCCCACTTGTCTATATCAAAGGTGTAGGTACCTTTAGCAATAGGGATGTCACTGGGTTCAGTAGGGGACCTTGGAGGTGAGGCAGGAGTGTTGTCAAGTTTCTCGGGTGTCTTTTTCATCTTTGGCCTCCTTAGGGGCATTTTGGCAACTGGCTTCTTGCCTATCTTTTTGGTGGGAGGGGTGTTTTCCTGCTGACTGTCCCAGTTACCCTTGTCCTCAGAATAGTCAAACTCCAGCCTCACTGAGAGGCCTTTGGCAGGCAAGTCCTCTTGCCCCCCAGTGTCCGGCTGGGTCACCTCCACTGCTTCAGGGGCTGTGGTGAGAGGCACAGACTTCCTCCCCACAGGGGGTGAGTTCTGCACCCTGCTGCCTCCAGAAACCAGAGGGCTAATGTCCTCTGTACTCTCCGAAGTCAGAGGACAGGTGGCCGCGGGTACAGCGGCAGACTCCAGGGACGCCTCCTCTGACAAGGTGCAGCCAGGGCCCTCGGGTGTGGCCGACTCCGGCTTTGTCTCTGGCGCTAAGTGCTCCTCGCTAGGCACGGGGCTCTCTTCGCCCGGCTCCTGCTGGGTCTCCTTTACTGGGGGAGTTTCCGTGGGTTTCTTGCTGGCCGGTTTCTTTTTTAAGGAAGGCGGCCGTACTTTCTTAGTTCGCTTAAGGGTGCTGGAAGCGCTGTTGGATCCCGTGCCACACACATCTGTGGCAGGGGCCCCAGCTTCAGGGCTGCCCGGGCAAGAAGCACCGTCAAAGTCGCCGGCTTGCAGGCTGAGCGAGCGGGACAGCGTGGACTTGGAGGGTGGCACGGACTCGGTGGATTTCCTCCGTGTGCTCACCTTACACTCCTGACCCTTACTGTCGGCAGAGCAGGGCTCTAAGCTCTGAAAGTTATCCACCAGCTCAATGCTGTCAAAGTCCAAGTTGTAAGTCCCACTGCTGGCTATCGGCTTGTCTTCATCAAACACTGCCGAGGAGGAGTGTGAAGGACGGAAAGGGCTTCCTTCCACGGACTCGCTGCAAGGGCCATCAGGAACGATAACCGGCTCAGAGAGGCATCCTGAGGAAATGGAGACAAAGCTGTCACAAAAAGACACGGGGCACTTGGGAACAATTCTCATCCTGTGCCACAGCAGAGGTCGATAAACTCTAAAGATGGGCACCCCACAGAACCTGGTTTCACGACATCATCAGCTCCAGACCCTGGACAGGTTTCCCTCAGTTCCCTCCCTGACTATGGGAGTCAGGTGGCTGATGAAGGAAAAGCCGCATGGTTCATTCCAAAGCACTTTACCAAGTGCCTGACCCTGACTGGGGTCATGCCAGGAATCTGAGCAACAATCAGAGAAGATAAAGGCTTTTCCTCCCAGCCTAGCAGCCATTACCATCACCACCAAAGCATCCGCAAGTACTTGCTTGCAAGAGAATCTCAAGATCAGGCCTGATGACAGTCCCTCATGATGAAGGGATTGAAAAGGGTCGTTGGACCCTGACCTGAGGGTCCCATCACACCTACCCAAGCTACACATGGTCTCATGGTAGAGCGTGCAATGCCAGCTGAAGGGAGGACTCTATCTTTGTAGCTATGGAGAAATTGTCATTCTTGCTAAGATGACTTCCTGTGGTCTAGCTGTTTGGGGGTTACCCACACTCCGCAGGTAAGGCCAAGCTGGACTCTGGTGGAATGGTACTTTGAGTCTGTCATCAGTGCCCTCTCTGGTTTGTTTATATCTCACCAGGCAGTTCACAAAACAAAGAGACAGAAGAAGCTCTGGGGTAGGAGTACCCCTGGGGTAATAGAAACATAATGATGAGTCTGGTTCTATAAAAATAGCCCACTCTGAGACACCCATGCTCTCTGCTGTTGGGGTCAGTCTCTCACAAAGCTTCTTCACTTTGGTCACAAGCAAATGTTGCAGTCTGGGCCCTGGCTGATAAAGTAGAAGAAGACAGCACAAGGAAATGGATAAACCAGGCTCAGAAAAGGGCTTGCTTCCCTCTGTTTCCAGCCTGGTAAAATTTTCTCTCAGAAGCTTAATAAATATCCCTTGGATTGCGAGCACCCTGGGGAAGGCTACCTGTAAGTCTAGAAGTCAGCCCTGGCTCTGGACCTTTCCCTCTCTTCCCTAACTCTTACTCCATTAGGCGCACGCGCGTGCGCGCGCATGTGCGCGCGCACACACACACACACACACACACACACAACCATTTGCAGCCTCTGGCCCTGGCTTTGTTCCAAATTATTTCCCATCATCACCAAACAGACTCCTTCCCATCTCAGAACAGGTGTCTGCCTTTCCTGCTTCTGAGATTGCTATTTTTCTAAGGCCCCTGGGCCTTCAAGCATAGCTTCTTCCAGTAAGAAGCAACCTGGTGTTCCGGCCTCGTGACGGCTCTTGAAGGCAGACGGCAGAAGACCAGAGATGCTGAGGGGCTCCCATGGGCTTTGACAGCAGGGGAGAGGGGCCTCAATCATTCTTTCACTTCTGTAGATAGACTCTTCATTGCCAACCCTCCCTTCCAAACTGCTCCATCACCTTGGCAACCTTCAAATGTCAGCAGTTTTCCTCACGTCACGCAACAGTCAGTAGATATGCAGCATAACATCTGCTTTGCCTTCCTGTCTACTTACCCTGGCTTTCCCTAACTAAATCATGGGCAAAGAAACCCAGTCTTACTGCGGTTTCTTATCATCAGCCCAAAGGATGCTTGGGGGCAATCCCTTGTTGTGGAGGGCCAGCATGTTCGGCATATCAGCTAAGGATGTTTTGCCTCATCCTTAGCTTTGACCTACTAGATGCCAGTAGCACCTTTTATCCCAGTTGTAACAAAATGTCTCCAGACACTGCCTCCTGTCCCCAGGACTAACTCTGTCCGTGGTTGGGAGCTGTTATTCCACGGAGTGGTTCTCACAGCAGATGGCTCCCTCCAATCCATCACAAGGTTGGGATGACCTCTCCATGTCACTGTCACAGGCAAGCCCTGGTTTGCAAGGCAAGCAAGCTGGGTCCCCACTAGACTTCTACATAGCCACAGAGATCTGCATAAAGACTTCATTCATCCCAAACCTGAGGTACTCCCAACGTTGGTCACTATGGGGTATACCTTGAATACAGAGGCAAGGAAAGATGGGACTACAAGCCAATCTATCCACATCAGCATGTCCCTGGCACTGACTGGTATAGGCCTGGGCACACTGAGCCCTGGCTCTAGACTGTAGCTCAGTCGTGGGGAAAAACAGCATCTGCGCTCATTGGACGAGTCCCCAGAGGTTTCCAGGCTATGCTAATCAGCCCAGTTGCCCTCACCAACCAAGAATGGGTGGCTTCAACAACAAAAATGTGTTTCCTGCCGTTCTGAGTTCCAAGGTTGGAACATCACCTTCACAATGGAGGCATCAGCAGGTGTGGCCTCTCTTGGAGCCTTTCTCCTCGGCTTTCAGGTGATCGGTCTGGTCTGTTCCTTACATGGCCTTTCCTCTGAGCAAATGTAACCCTGAGGTCTCCTCTTGTTACAGGGTCTCACCCTAAGGCCCCACAGAACCTTAATTACCACCTGAAAGTCCCTATCTCTAACATATCCCATCAGGAGTGAAGGCTTCAGCATGGGGATTTAACAGGTTGTAAATCAGCCTGTAACATCAGTGCTGGGCAACACAACCTACACAAAGCAGATAGTCAGAGACAAGAGGGAATTAGAGGAAAGAGATCAGGCTGACAAGTGGCATCATCCACCTGACTGTCCGCCCACCTACGTTCACCAGAGGCCACATTGCTTAGCCTTGCTGGAGTGTTTCCCAAATGACACTGGAGATGGCCTCCTGCACAGTGAGTTCTCTCCAGGCAGGGATGCAATGGCTAGAATGAAGCCTTGGCATCCTGGCATGCTCAGGATGATCAATAAATCAAGCCTGCAGACCATCTAAGTACACAGATATGGAACACTCTCCTTTTTAAGCAGGCTGAGGGAGATCAACAGCATATTACTTGGCACTCTTGTGGCATTTCACCAATAGTTGTAGGAGACCCAGTGCAAGCATATGATAAATTCAAGACTTCCCATACTTTTCTACCCTAAAATACATCCAGGACACTCATCAAAACCTAGCATTCCCATTTACCCACCTACTGATCAGTCCATCCCTTCCTAAATATATTGGCAGAGGCAAGGCTCTGAAGGTCCATTTTAACAGGTGTCACACGTAAGTGTCCTGGTCAGGGAAGCTTGGGGCTAGTTCCTTTTTTAAAATAAAAAATAGAGGTATCTTGCCTGCATGTATGTCTGTATGCCACATATGTACCAGATTCCTGAGGAGATCAGAATAAGATTATTGGATTCCCTGAGACTGAAGATACAGACAGTTGTGAGCTACCATGTGAATGCTGGGAACAGAAGGCAGGTCCTTTAAAAGAGCTGCCAGTGCTCTTAACCACTGAGCCATCTCTCCAGCCCCTACTTCTTAATCTTACCACCTCTGTCTCATTCTGTAAGGCAATACTTTGGCCTGAGGGTTCAGGGTGAGCTCAGATAGAGCAGAATTAGTCCTGGGGCTGATCTTGGACTCCCTGTGGAGATCTGCCTTGGAGAGTGAAGCTGCTCAGACAGGGTCAGGTCTACAGTGTCTACTGCCCTCCTTGGATATGGCCCAAAACACAAGGCTCAAGAAACTAAACCCAGAATGGGTCAGCAAGAGTGGCAGAGGCCCTAGGCACCTTCTTTCTGGAAGACATGGCTGAGTCTTAAGAACCTCTGCCTGGGGAAGAGGGCTCTGGGCACTGTTCCTGGGTATCCATCTTACTCTAGTCTCTTCTCAGACCTCACTTAAGTCCCAGAGGTTTGCCAGAGATCAAGGATTTGGGATGAAAGCTGGAAAAATTCTATGAAAAGCAGACTTATTAGGATCCACTCTGTGAGAAGCTAAGAGACATGGCACTCAGGATGCTGAGAGCTCTATGGGGCTTTGAACAAATGGCATTACCTCCAAGAATCCAGGAGCACCTCTGTGGTGACAGTCCTACCAGAAGGTGGTCACTGAGCTGGAACCTGGGCAGCTTAGGCTGGGTCCCAGCTCTACCGCAGGCACAACAAATATCCCATTTCTATCCTGTTTGCTCTCTTTCCCCAGGGGCTGCCTACTGACTCATTATCCCTTCCAGATTCTGTTGTCATTTCAAAGACATCATTCCCTTCCATCCTTCTCCTTCAACATGAGCAGGGAATGAAGCCAGATAGAAGCACTCCCTTCAGAGGCCAGAGAGCTAACAGGTGGTTAAGAGTACTTCCTGTTCTTGCAGAGGACCCAAGATTGGTTCCTAGCACCCACAAGGTGCCTCGTAATCATCCATAACTCCAGTTCTAGGGGATCTGACCCCCCTCCTTATGACCTCCTTGAATACTAGGCAAACACATGGTGCACATACACACACACACACAGGCAAAATACTCATAAAAACAACAAAAACATCTAAAGAAATGTATACTTTCTTAAAGTGTCCCCTTGATATGCTGAAGACAGGCCACCAGGATTACCGACTCGAGAAGGCACTGCCAGGGTTCAGGATTGAATAAGAAGTGGCTGAAAGACTGTAACATAACATCTCAGTGTCCTTCACCAAAGCTCCTCAGCCGTGCTCACTACAGTCCATCCCAGGACACCTTTCAAAACATACAACTGATGATAATGACTGTGCAGTTTGGTTTTTATCATGTCAACACAAACCTAGACATATCTGGAAGGAGGGAATCTTTTTTGTTTTGTTTTTCATCTCTGTGTAGCCTGGGCTGTCCTAGACTTACTTTGTAGACCAGGCTGGCCTCGAATTCACAGAGATCTGCCTACCTCTGCCTACCTCTGCCTCCCCGAGTGCTGGGATTATAGGTGTGAGCCACCACATTCAGCAAAGAGAGAAACTTAACAAAGAAAATGCCTTCATATGATTGGCGAGCTTTGGGGGGCATTTTCTTAGTTGATGATTGACGTTGGGAGGGCCCAGGCCACTGTGGGCAGTGTCATCCCTGGGCTGGTGGTCCTGAGAGCTGTAAGAAAACAGGCTGAGTAAG